AGGGATGAGATGCACGGCTACGGCCCCCGGGACAGGCGGCTTTGGGCAGACGGCTGACGCTGATGGTCAACTAGGGTATCAATTGCTCCAGGCGTATGGGTCCTGCTGGGTCCACGGCCTCGCCCGGCGGCAACTAGCTGGAGGGGCTCAGCTTCGTCCGAGGGCTCCGGAACCTTGATTGCAACCTCCGACCCCGATGTCTTGGTGCTTTCCACCGCATGTACTTTCGGCAGGCCGACGTGCTGACGGACACATGGAACGACCGGCGAACAGAACAGACGACTGACAGAAAAAATCGATTGAGTCAGCGAAGGGTGCGAATGCGGTCTCCCCCCCAACTGAAGTACTTTTCCCTCCCGAACCGCTGAACCTATCCAGGCGTCATGTCGTTCCAAACCTCCCAAACGATTGCTGGATTGTACAGATTGGGAGAAGACTCGATCAACCCATTGGAATTGCCGTTGGGATGATAAGGCTTTCCGCGATATCCATAAACCTTCCCCCCCACACACACCAGAAAAAAACACGAACACGAAGCTCGCTTCGGTAGAGCAATTCGTGTAATATAGTGTGTATATTTCTCATCGCGGATCAGATTACTAAAACACACCCACACGTGCCTGACACGTGGCCTAAAGTGGCTGATTGTGTACGTGTGTAATCGAATTGCATCTAGTGCTCGTGTCGGCGACATGCCCGACAGCATAGCAGCTAAACTTCATTACACACACATACACACACATACACACACATACACACACATACACACACATACACACACATACACACACATACACACACATACACACACATACACACACATACACACACATACACACACATACACACACATACACACACATACACACACATACACACACATACACACACATACACACACATACACACACACATACACACACATACACAAACTCGAACTATCGCCCGCACCCTTCGATTGCTCAGAACCGTGCATTAATTGCCGGCAAGCAAGTCAATTTAAGAAACTATACCGGCCATGTAAGTGCTAGGTAGCGCCTTCACGGCAGGTAAAGGGAAGGGTTGTGTGCCCAAACAATACACCAATTCGTTTCTATTGGAAATGCTGCCAATAGCAAAATCCTTTCGACATGAGGTCACACTTCATGACGAGTGGTCACACGAAAACGATTCTGACAGACATGCAGAGTCAGAACGGGCACACCGGCAACGTCGACACGCGGCACTCCTTACATACAAACAGACGGACGTCCGAGAATGCGCACGCACCTTACTGTGCTGTGTCAACCAGGAGCCCTGGGGTGGTGGTGCTTCTTTTCTCAGGACACCAACACAATTCTGCCTTGGGCCAGACCGCTGGGAAGTGGAATGTCTGCTAGCAAATCCTTTCAGAAAAATGATTTCTCATTTCTAGATGCCTCATCAGTCATTTCTAGATGCACTCACATTATCCCTTTATGCACTTTGGCGTAATAAGCAGTGTCCCCGGCTCAAGTTCTAACATGCCATGCCTTGCACATACACACACACACACACACATACACACAGACACTCTCTCTGGCCCCTCACGCCCCTCTCCGCCTGCTAGGCCCGGATCAATATCTAACATACACACACATACACACACGTACACACACGTACACACACACGTGCACATTGCTCCCGCATCTCCCACCCCCGCTCTGGCGCCCGTAGCAACTCTCGGTTCACTACAATCCGAGCGCCTATCTCACCTGGCAATCCCGAACGTTGTTGCTTCATGGTTCGTTGCATTAATCCCGGGCTACTTTTCCAGTATTTTCCATTTTCGAAATATGCACACACCCCTAAGAATACACACATACACACGCTCTCCTCAAGAATGCCTCTCCTCCATTTCCTCCTGTTCTCTTCTCATAGCTTGTGCTTTACGTTCGACGCTTGCCGAAACGCGCGAGCCCCAGGTCGTATAATCTGCGTGTTTTAACACACAGCACATATAGCACACACAGCACACGCGCACCTGCTCACCCTGCACGCACGCTCACCACCGCCGCTCCTCGCTCGGCAGCGCAACCGTAGCCTTAAGCCTTAAGGGGCTTCGCGGCCGGTGCCTCTATCGACATGGAAAAGGGGCCTACAAACACCGCATCCAGACACAAGCATCCCGTTCGAATCGGCTCCAGTGAGGGGCCCGACGGCTCCAGTTGGCCCTCTCCATTTTCACGCATGCATCCGGTCGGCTGGCCGACACTTGCTCATACAAACGCACACACAACCCCCTCGCCTCAGCTACCCTGTCTGCTTCTCAGCAGCGCGCGGGAAGTGGAAGCAGTTCCTCCGTGGGTCATGTGTATAACGATGGTGGTGGTGGTGGTGGCTGGTTGTGCCAGCCCACCCCCACCCCCCCATTCCTTCACAGCCAGGGCCGCGGGCAGGCCGCCGGGTCCAGCGGTTTCCGGATACACATGTAACCTCCGAACAGAGTCTCCATGCGGCGGGCACTGATGGACCTGCAGCTGTGCCCGGCAGGGTCATCCTCGTCCAGTAGCGATACGCTGCACAGCCGCTCCTCCTCTGTGTTGCGGCCGCCGCTGCTGCTGCTGCTGCTCCTGCTGCTGCTAAGGATGCGGCTGGAGCTGTCGCTGTCGCTGTCACTTATGGAAGGTAGTTCTAGGCCGGGCTGTTGTCGCTGCCCCTGCTGCTGCTGGTGCTGGTCTGAGGGCAATGAGGAACGATCCATCTTGCCGTCGACCGCTCCTCCATCTGCTGCTGCAAGTGCTGGTGCTGCTGCCATATCCGGGTCGTTCGGGTCCCTGCAGTCCAAGAAGGCATCCAGCTGGGGGTCCACTTGCCGCAGCTGCTCGGGGGGGGTGTCCGGGTGGGCGGCCTTGGCGCGGAGGATCTCAAGAAGCGTCTCGAACGCGTCGTACCGACCCGACTCCCCGATGTACGACCCCGTCACAGTGCTGAACGCCATGTGCTGGGCGGCGCAGCGGAGCAGCACCTCCTTACGAGCATACTCCTGCAGAGAATCAAGCGAAGCAGGAGGACAACATCACACCACTCCATACCTGTAGCAGTCAGCAGTCAGCAGCAACTCCATCCCCACCCCCACCCCCACCCTCTCCCCTCCCCTCCCCGTCCCCCTCCAGCCCACCTCCGGGCTGATTGCCTCCAGCACTTCATGCATCCGGGGTATATCTGCCTCCGCCAGCCTCACACCGAATGTGTTCCAGTCCAGGAAGGGCTCAAACGCCTCCAACACGTCGTCCGAGATAACCACGGGAACACAGCCCGCCTGGACAGCCTGCATCTGAGGTGCCGTACACGAGGGAGGGAGGGGGTGAAGGAATCCGGGAACACACGAGGAAAGTGTGAAAGGGATATGGATGGGAAGGAGGGCAGGCACGTGGGTGGTGGGGAGGGAGTGGAGGGAGGGACATAGGGGGCATCACACACAGATGCAAACGAGGGAATAAGAGATACAACAAATGCTGTACAGTCAGGACTCGTACACGAGAAAGGAGAAAAGGAAGGAAATGGGGCCACGCGAAGATGTGATTCTCGGAGGTTTGAGAGTTTTAGGGTTTAAGAGGAGTTATAAAACGGGGAGGAGGAGGAGGAGGAGGAGGAGGAGGGGGTTTGGGAACGTCCTAAGGGGAAGGAAGGGAGAGCGGGAGAACTAACACCGAACGGAACAGGAGGAGGAGGACACTAGGAAGCTTCGGCCTTTGCCGTACCGTCTTACAAACATACCTGACGCTGGCCTGATGATTGTTAATTGGCGGTTAGTGACAGTTGCATGTTGTTGTGGACCAGCAGGACGATGACCGTTGGGATGACGACGCAACAATGTCCGCGGATAAAAAGTGTTTGGTGGCAGCAGATTCGCCCCGGTTTGTGGTTTATGGCGCAGTCGTACAGTCGTGCGCGTGCATGAGGAGGTTTTGAGGATGCACCAGGCGCCGGGGGAGGGGGGAGGGGGAGGGGGAGGGGAGGAGGGGGGGCATTGGGACATGGAGACAGGTCAGCAGTGTGGCAAGGTAAATAGCAGGTGTGCAAGACATAGAAGGACGCTGTGACAGCGCCGTTGGACCACAGGACCGTATGATAGTTGCGAATTCGCTGCAGCAGTCATGGTGGTGTGCTGAGCCACGATGATGTTGATTTAGCACGGCAAGGGAGCTTCGACATTTAGATTTTCCTGGCGTGCGTGGATTTGTGACGAAACCGTACAGTGCCGCCACCACTGGCAACAACCTCAGTGCAGGCCAACCAACACGGTGGTCACTCTGCATTCAGTCCGCTCTCCTCATCCCCTTCCCTCGTCCCCTGCCGCCTCCCCTCCACCACTACACAAACCCTCCCCCCTTTTCCCCCGCTTCCTCCCCCCTTCCTCCCCCCTTTCCTCCCCCCCTTTCCTCCCCCCCTTCCTCCCCCGCTCTCTCTCCCACCGTGTCCCCCTCCCGTGGGCCCGAAGCAGAACTTGGACGTGAGCAGGTGCTTGGCGTAGTGCCGGTCTCCCAGCTGTATGAAGTACCCGGTGCGGTTCCAGTGGTGGAAATGTATCTGGTCGGGGCGGTTGGGACGGTTGGGGCCGGCAACTGACGGGTGTGTACGACAGGGGGAGACAACAACCATACGGGCTGAACTGGTACGGCAACGACCAGCATCAAGGTGCGCTTGGGGTGGCACGAAGAGTATTGGGGAAGCACCCAAGGCATACACATCCAGACTTACTTACCCCACACGCACTAATGTTCCCGTCTGGAGCCCGTCTCACCTTTTGCCTGGTACCCCCCGAATATCCCATATTATGGGGCGACTTGCAGTTAGGCCACACACCGTCAACTTGAGGTTTAGAGTGGTCGCCGCAAATTCGGCTGCGGATGTGCGGTTGAACATTTTCATGTTAAAAGCGTGGAAGGGGGGCCGGGCGGGGGAGTGAGGGGTTTCACGTTCGGTTGAGCTCACAGCTCATATTCAGATGGCAACCTTGAAGTGCTTCTTACTCTAACGGCTAACGGCTTGGGGGCTTGGGCGCCTCAATGCTTCACGACCATGGCACACAAAATATACACATCCACAGACATAGATACGCACATACACGCACATACATATACGCATATAGAGCCGTGCACGTGCTTTCCACCATATCGACGTTCCCGAGTAGGCTGAGCGCTAATTCACCCACCCTGCGAAGAAGAATATGGGTCCATTCCGCTCCCGCAACTCATGTGGGGCCTTGGTGGCAAACTTGGGGTGAAGGCGGGACGTGAAAATGCCCATGCGGGACAGTTTGGGAGACCCCAGAAACACTGGCAGCACGATGTCGGTGGCGTTACGGTGGGAGGCCCGCCAACCGGAGGAGAGTTTCGGAGCGTGCAGGCCCCAGTAAGACACGAAAGTAACGTTGGCGGTCAGATGGCCGCGTTCCGACTCCGAGCGCCCCATGTCACCTGCGGAGGCGGGGTGCCGTGTAAGTTTCTGGACCCGTGGGTCGGTACATACTGAGTTGACCTGCGACCTGACAAGGAACGGAGTTGAGCCGCCGTTCATCCGGCAGATCCCGTTGGATGCCGGTGGTGGGTGCTGAACCTGAGCGATCCACTAAGACGTTGGCTAGGGTGACTAGATGAGGGTGCCCCGAATACTGGGGAAGGCAGGGTCTGCCGGATAGCGGCCAGTAGTTGAAGATATGACCCCCCTGTCCCACACATCATACTGAGTCGCGCCTGGATCGTCATGCCCTGCTTTTCCCCACATGGGAAGACATGGGGAGACTTTGAAAATGCGCATTTTGTCATAGAATTCTGTTTTTGTACTGATGCCGTACCGTACCTGTCGCGATAACGAAGTGTCTATGGCCTTGCGTGCGGTTCCACCACGGATGCATCTCCCGTATGTACGACACGGCCGCCGACAGCGTGGTTGCATCGCAGAAATGGCGCAGCACGACGGGTATGAAGTACCAGTCGGCCGTGTCGCCATCCCCCACACGCACCCCCGTGGCCGTGATTCGCTCCTGGAAGAGCCGCAATGTAGGCCGGTCCAGACGCATGTCGTTGCGCCTGTTGTACGGCACGTACGGCAGAAATGATCCTTAGAGTGAAAAATTGTAAACATCGTTATTTAATGCCGTGTTGTGTTGCGTGGCGGGTACGGAGGACTGTGCCTCCATGTCGTGGGGTCCAGAACCCTCCCGGTGTTCAATATCTTAGAGATTCTGTATGCTGGCTTCACCCATCATATCGACATAACGGCAAAGCACCTCAGCTCTCCGTCGCGCTGTGCATATCATTACGTACTTGCAAAGCTGCACCACCCGGCCCCTTAGGCTCCACTTCACGGGGAAACCGCCCCTGCCATCTGTTTCGAACACTCACTCATCCTTTCAACCACTCGCTCACTCAACACCACGCCAGATCCTTCCAGCTACCCAAACCTTCACCTTCCTAATCGAAAACGCTTCGGCTCTAATTGCGCATATTTAGTAATATTAGAAAATATGGTATCTGAATGCTTAGGTCGATAGGCGTAACCATATACATACAGAAAACAAAAGTAGATTGTTACGGATATCATAGGAACTAAGTAGTCGCGAGTTTCCCCCTGCGAGCATCCTCGACAATAAGAATAGAAACAACAAAATCGCTTTAATGCTCATTGCTTATGCATAAAAACATGTGGATTTAAATAAAAGAAAGTAGATGTCCATTTGAATCACAAACAACACATAATACGTACGCAGTCACAGTTTGACAAACGCCTGAAGGAGCGCTCGCTTTGCTAATGCGATAGAAAAAAAGATATGAGGTGTTTCAGCATTAAAAATGTCACAATTTAGGAAGAAGCTACCACTGATAGAGCAATCGATAACTGGCGAACCTTCGACTTCTCACGCTTCTCGTGCAGCACCGAGTTTTTCAGTTACAATTCTGTTGACGAATCCTCCCACCCATATCACCAATACAGCATGCGCACGTGTGTAATGTCCAGGATGCTGCTTTATATAAATCTCTGAATTCTTATGGCAATGTCCCTCCCCCCCTCCCCGCACAACCTCCCTCCCTCCTCCCTCCCTCCCCGCCCTACCATGTTGTCATGCTGGGTGGCAGGTCGTACACGTAGACCCGAGGCCCCCTGGAGCGAGCTCTGTAGCCCCGGTCCGCAAGCACCTGTGGCTTGCCATCCGCACCCAGAGACAAAGCGCAGTCGGCGCCAAAGAAACCTGCGCCGCGCATCACACCACCAACATCAGCAGTTCAGCACCGAAACGTGAATGGCGGTGATGGTGACAGTGATGGTGGTGATAGTTGTGGTCGTGGTCGTGGTGGTTGAGGTAGTGATTGTGGCAGTCCTTCGAAAGTGGCATGAAGGCATGATGCAGGGTTGCAAATCTACACGACTATATTTCCATTTGAAAAGGGTATAATATGTTTCGCATCCCATTCTCTGAAAGCGAGTGCGATATGTGCGCGTGCAGCCACACAACGACTAGCTGCGGTGTCTCTGTAAACAGGAAACACTACCAGGAAACAGTCGTAACCGCAATCCTAACCGCCAACCACCCTTGGCACGTCGCGCTCTTGGACCCCTCCCGAAGGATGACACGTGCATGAGCAGCTGCTGACCTTTCTGGCAGTGGCAGAACCCCGCC